GCAAGTGTCCTTTGTATGCCTCAGTTTCTTGCAATATTCACATATTTGCTCCTTTTTCTCAGTAGAACCCTTTAGCTTTATTCCAGCATGTGCAAAGTGTTCTGTAGGTGGACTCTATAACTGAACCTGCCGCCTACTCACCACATTGCTTATCATAGCATATGCCTGGGAAAGAGTAACCTCATCTTTGGCCAGGATATTTTGCCTAATGATGTCGAACTCAGGGTTGAGTCCAGTAAGAAATTCAAACACCCTATTTCTCTCCACCAACTTCCTATACATTTCAGCATCATTCTTACTCTCCCATACAACTGTCTCCATAACATCAATTTCTTGCCATAGGGGTTTCAGTATAGAATAGTAGATTGCTACACTCTTCTCCCCCTGTCTTAGGTTCTTCACGTCACTTTTCAACTTGTAGACTCTGGCTACATTCAACTTCTTTGAATAGGTCTCAGTAACACTGTCCCATATCTCCTTGGCCGARGACATCCAGAGATAATGCTGACTTATATGAGGTTGCATAGAGTTGACCAACCATTCAATGACTGTATAGCTCTCCTGCATCCATTTCTCAAATTCAGGGTTTGTCTCTTCGGGTTTCACTTTACTACCTGTGAGATACCCGAGTTTTCCTCTACTACAGACAAATTCTTATAGACTGTGCCCAAGCAAGATAATTTGTCCCATCTAGCTTGATTGTGGTCACACCAGTCAAAACAGAATCTACCGAGCCGAGGCCGAAGACCAGCACTTGCTTGAACTCACTTCCGTATGGCTCCATTAATTAAACGAAAATCAAAGAACCAGAAATTTGGTCTATATAAACTTACTTGAAGTCAAACCAGAACCCAGATGCTTGAAAACTAGGGTTTTACTGTGTTCGGCTATTGGGGAGGAAGAGAGAAGATGCAACTGCTCCTACCAGAGCTTCCTAATCTCTTCCAAACCTGAACTGCCCTCTTTTAGGAGTCAAAAGACACCTCCCAAGCACAGAGTGCCACACCTAAAGCTTCACTTTTACCTGTACCTTTGAAAATCTCTAGTCGGCTAGGGTTTTGGGCAGCAACAGAACAACACCACTTCTTGGCAATATCCAACCAGATTTAAACTCTCCAAACCCTCTACCAACTAGGCCAGAGATCCTCTGAGCTATAGAGAACCTATCTCTTCATACACTCTCTTAATTGAAGGGTGTATGGGAAAAGAGGAAGAAGAAAAGAAGGAAGAAAGAAACTTGCTCTGATACCAAGATGTAAATCAGTCCTCAAAAATAGGTGTAAACTTGAAAAATTAGAGAGAAAAAGGAGGAAGAAAAGTAAGAGCAGCAGTACAAGAGAAGAAGATGGAGAAAAGAGGAGGAAGAAGAAGAATGGTTCGATTTATCCTTCCCTCTCTTCTCTAATCCTTTTTACTAAAAATTAATGTTTAAATAATTACAAGTATGCCCTTAAGTGGGCGGCCAGCTAGGCAGTAACATAAAGAGATCAAACAAAAAGAAATAACAGGCCCATTAAGAGAGGCCCATTAGCTAATAGGAAAATAGAAAAAATATTACAAGAGAAGATATTAGGACCCATTCTGCCTAGTCTCTTTACGGTTTTTCTGTATGGAAATCTTTTCTTCATGTCATATCTTGTATGGTGGCTACAACCTAGCAGATTGATATGAAATGTATTGCGCTCACTACTTCACTGACAGCCTCACCCTCACTAAGAGGACTATGTTTTATTTGCCTAGGGTTACCAGTTCAGGAATGATATTTTATCAATTCGATATATCATTGTTTCAATCTCTATCCATTGCTTAGCATCTTTTTTGCTCAGTCAAGGGTGACTTCAGACAACTAGACCTGCTGTTGCAAGTTCTAACATAGTGATGCGTACAATTTCCCCCTTTGTAAGTAGTAATTATCAATATACTAGAGTGGAAGATGAGGCAAATACACTTTACATATCAGAATAAAAACAGATTAATGAGATAGAGTATAAAAGTTTTGATATAAACTTTGTGAAAAAGAAAAAAGAAAAAATTTCTGCTAGAGAAGAAAAGAAGAAGAAATAGAAGAGAATGAAAGGAAGCCAATGAATCAGATCTGGCCGCCCCTTTCCTTTTAATTTCATACTCAGAAAAGAGGGTACTAGTACAAGTATGCCCTTAGTACTTGTAAGAAGCTAAAGAACACATTTAACTCAACATAAACTAATGGGCCTAAGGCCCAATAACTTCCTAACTAAATTATGTAAATAAAAATAAATAAAGTCGGTCCAATAACTTAATGCTCAATAACTCAACACTCCCCCTCAAGTTGGGAATAAATGTCACACATTCCCAACTTGCGTAGATCATGCTCCAACTTGTTTCTTGCAACCTTTTGTAAGAACATCAACAAGCTGCAAATCAAATGCAACATATGGCAAACAAACTTCCCCTAAAGTCACCATTTCTCTTATAAAGTGTATGTCTACTTCAATGTGCTTCATTCTATTATGCTGAACTAGGTTGTGGGCGATGTTAATTGCTACTTGATTGTCACAGTATAGCATCATAGGTTCTTCTGCTTCAATTCCAATCTTCCCTAACAAGGCACGGATCCAGAGGAGCTCTGAAACACCATGTGCCATGGCTCTGTATTCAGCTTCTGCACTTGACCTTGCCACAACTGTCTATTTCTTACTCTTCCATGAAACTAGATTACCTCCAAAAGAGTGCAAACTCCTGATGTAGATCTTGTATCATCTAGATAGTAGATACCCTGCCCAATCAATATCTGTGTAAGCCTCTAGCTTCAACTGTCCATGGTCAGCAAACAATATGCCTCTACCTAGGTGTCCCTTCAAATAAGAAAGTATCCTATCAATAGCCTCCCAATGCTGAACTCGTGGGGCATGCATGTATTGACTTACCACACTCACTGCATAAGAGATGTCTGGTCGTGTTATACATAAGTATAGCAACCGCCCTACTAATCTCTGATACCTCCCAACATCCTTCACTAGTTCACCTTCTGAAGCATTTATCCTGTGGTTCTGGTCAATAGGTGTATTAGCTGCCTTTGCCCCAAGTTTCCCTGTCTCCTATATTAGATTTAGAAGATACTTCCTCTGTGAGATGAAGATTCCATGCTTTGACCTTGCCACCTCAATGTCCAGAAAGTATCTCACCTCCCCAAGATCCTTAATTCCAAACTCTTTGTGCAGATTCTTCTTCAGCGTATCAATCTCACTCAGATCATTTCTTGTAACCAAGGTTCAAAATATCGATACGCCTGATATACTGGTATGGGCGTATCGAGCGAATCAATACTGTTTTTTTTTTATTTTTATTTTTATTTTTTTATTTTTTCTGAAACCGGTTCAGGGGGCCGGTGTAGGTTGCCTCCACCCCTTGAACTGGTCAGACCCCCGATTCACCCACTATAGGGGTGTATCGGAGGGGTCCCGACACGATACGTATCGGCCGATACGGGCCAATACTTGTCGGTACTTTGAACCTTGCCTGTAACTACAATGTCATCCACATACACTGTCAAAACTGACACCAGAGACCCCCTCCTCTTCACAAACAGAGTATGATCTAATTGGGTTTGAGTATAGCCAAAATCAACCAATGCTCTTCCAACTTGATGTGAAGAATGCTTTTCTCAATGGGGACTTACAAAAAGAGGTGTATATGGATCTTCCAGCTGGTTTCTACAATATGGTCAAGGGTATGTAGCTGCTAGTGATAGAAGAATCCGGATTGAGCTCATCTTTGCCATTGGTGCTAAAGTTTCTAAGTAATCTATGCCATAAGTTTGAGTATATCTTTGTGCAACCAGCCTTGCCTTATACCTTTCTATACTCTCATCTGCCTTGTATTTCACTGTATAAACCCATCTACATCCAACTGTCTCCTTGCCTTCTGGTAGATCCATAATCTCCCACATCTGATTCTTAACCAAAGCTTTCATTTCCTCCTGCATAGATGTCTTCCACTTAGGTTTGGAGAGAGTCTCACTAACACCCTTGGGTATGGACACGGAGTCGAGGGAGGAAAGGAAGGCCTGGTAGGAAGGAGATAGTCCACTGTAGGAGAGATAGTGTGAGATATAATGAGCAGTACACTTTCTCTTCCCTTTTCTGAGTGCAGTAGGAAGGTCAAGGTCATCTACAATGGGGTTAGTAATATCAGTAGGAACTAAACCATCAGAGGAAGCAAGGGGCATACTTGGATCAGTGTCAATCGAACCTGGAGTCTTTGAGGAGTCAATACCAAGTAGAAAAGTTTTGATATAAACTTTGGGAAAAGAAAAAAGAAGGGAAAAGTTTCTGCTAGAGAAGAAACGAAGAAGAAATAGAAGAGAATGAGAGGAAGCCAATGAATCAGATCTGGCTGCCCCTTTCCTTTTAATTATATACTCATAAAAAAGAGTGTACAAAGTATGCCCTTAGTAAGTTGGCTACTTTAAGAAGCTAAAGAACGCATTTAACTTAACATAAACTAATGGGCCTAAGGCCCAATAACTTCCTAACTAAGTTTTAAATAAAAATAAATAAAACCAGCCCAATAACTCAACAGATAGCATTAATAAGCACAATAAGGACTTCACCACAATGCCCAACGACACCTTAGTTCAGAACTTAGGATTGCTTAGATTAGCATCTTGTAGGATTTTCCTTATCAGTTTTCTACTAACAGAACCAGGGTTGGAAGGTGATTGAAATAAAGGATAAAAACTTTCTATTGCATGGTTGAGGTTCTGTAGCTAAGATGGTATAAGATTACCTGATCACGACATTCTTCTCCGTAATCACATACTGCATTTGAAATTCTATAATGTATCATGGTTTCTATGTAAATTGGCATTTCATTGGCTGTGAAAATTTGTAATGATAAATAATTTTAATATAATAGCAGATCTCTTTCAAGTTACATCAAATTTATGCTAGCATTTTTGGTAAGTAAATGTTTATTTCATTTCCTGTGACTTGACAAGACAATATTTTTCAATGTTTCAGATTGGGGTCTGCAAGAGCTGTTAACCGCCGTTATATCAGTGATTGTGTTCCACTTAAAATACGTATGCAGGCTTCAGCAGGTTTTGTTAGTGCAAGTGCTCTTGGGATGGCATGTGGTCCTGCTCTTGCTGGATTACTTCAAACTAGTTTTAAGATTTTCAATATCACATTTAATGAGGATACTTTACCTGGTTGGGTTATGGCTCTGGCATGGCTAATATATTTACTGTGGTTGTGGATTTCATTTAGAGAACCTCCTTGTGAGAGTCATGAGAACAATGTGCCACAGCATGCTAATTCTGGTATGTCAACTTAGATCTCTCACTACTTTAACCATGCCTATTCTGAGGTTAGGTATAATTTTGACCTACCATCTCTTTTCACAAATTTTAAGCCTTGAGCTCTTTAATGTTTTGGTATTCAACTATTAAATGATTAGTTTTTCATATATTTGAAATGCTTTTTTATCTTATATGACATCTCTCAAGTGCTACTTATTCATGTCCTGCTATATGGTCAGTTGTAGCTGCAAGTGTTATTTAATAGTTCTCAGAAAGTTATGCTATTTTCTACTCTCTAATTTCCACCAATTCAGTCTTTTAGGGGTGTGAGTGGAATTTTGTAAGCATATGTTTCTTTTTCCTGGAATGCCAACAACAAAAAATGTTGTATTGACTAGTATAAAATATATGAGATGCATATAAGTCAAAATGGCGACTTTTGTCTGTAGCTGTACAAGCTTCCTGAGGTATTTAGGACTCACCATACACATCTCTTGATTCCCTGTGATCCTGCCAGAGTTGTCAGCTATAGCTTTTAACTCTATTGATATTCATTTCAAAATATATGTACTGGACCTTAAAAGATGCATTGCCTCGTTAAACAAATTAGTGAGCCTCAAAGGGTCTGTTCCAAACCCCTTGCTTATACCAATTTCTGATTCTGTTTCAATCCAAAGAGAAGAGAGCTAATGTAGGTAGCCTGGAAAAGTTAAATCCCTTGATATTCATTTCAGAACTTACGTGTTGAACCTTGCAAGATGCCTTGTCTCATTAATCAAATGGGAGAACCTCCAAGTGCCTCTACCGGCTGCCTTGCCAATCACATTGGCTGGGTCTCCTACAATCTGAAGAGAGAAGCTTCCTGGTTGTATCCTGAAAAGAGTTTCTCACTAGTCTTTTAACTGACTAGTGAGAAAAAAAACTATTGATAAAATATGAGAAAAAATTAATCTGGATATTACAGCATCATGTCATGGAATGTGAAAATGGGAAAACAAACATATCATACAACTCAAAATTCTCTCTGATCATGGTGAATCATCTATATAGATTAATTAGCAATGAGCAGCCAAGATTAGTTATTGTTGAGTTTTGGGCTGATATTAATTTTTTTTTTTATTTACATAGCATAGTTAGGGAGTTATTGGGCATTAGGCCCATTAGTTTATTTTTTTAAGTTAAGAATGTTTATTCAGTTCTTACAAGTAGCCAACTTACTAAGGGCATACTTGCTTTGTACTCTCTTTTATTTGTGAATATAATCTAATGAAAGGGGTGGCCAGACCTAATTTTGGCTCCCATTCTCTTCTATCTCTCTTCTCTTTCTTTCTCAGCAGAAACTTTTCTTCTCTTTCTTTTATAGTTTTTATATCAAAACAGGTCTTCCAAACTTTTTCTACTTCAAAGATAACAGTTAGTCTTATCAAAGGGTTGACTTGGCCAGTGATTAATTTTTTTGATGTCATTGATTCTTTTAAGAAGCTATTAGGTGCTGATTTCTAATGGCATCTCTAGATGCTGACTCCTAGAGAATCCCTAGATGCATATTCCTAGGTAGTTCTTTCATTTTTTTTACTTATTATGCAGGTCCACCCTGTTTCAGGGTATATCCATGTCAGTAGGCATGTGTAACTGGCCTGATTGGGTATTGTACTGTCAATAAGTAGGGACCTGTAAGATGGTTTGATCTTAACATAGGAGACCATCTACAGCACCTGTAATATCTGTTGACAGTTGATCATCTACAGCACCTTTAAAGATCTTGTTTGTGCTGTTCAGCCGAACTGAGAAAAGGGAAAGAAAGAAGAGAAGAAGAAGAGGAACAGTGTCGAATTGAGAAGACTGTTCGTCTAACCCAGTCGACCATATGCTTAAACATTACAAAAATAAAATTACATAGACTGAAATGCCCCTGCATATGAGGAGATATACAACTAACACCTTACTTAGGGGAAAAGACCAAAATACCCCTCTTTAGTCGACTCTAACACTCCCCCTTAAGCTGGAGAGTATATATCATATAATCCCAGCTTGTTACATATATAGCTCACTCTTCCCGAACTCAACCCTTTTGTGAACAAATCTGCCCATTGATCACCTGTTCTCACATGTTCAGTACTTATCTCACCATTGATGACCTTTTCCCTTACAAAGTGGCAATCTACCTCTATGTGTTTAGTTCTCTCATGAAAAACTGGGTTGGATGAGATGTGAATTGCAGCCTGGTTGTCACAATGTAGCTTCATGAGTTTGCTTATTGAAAACCCGATTTCCTACAGTAGATTCTTCAACCATACTAGTTCACATGTAGTATGTGCCATGGCCCTGTATTCTGCTTCTGCACTGCTTCTTGCTACAATAACCTGCTTCTTGCTCTTCCATGTCACTAGATTTCCTCCCAGAAAGGTGCAATAACCTGTAGTGGATCTCTTGTCTAATACAGAGCCAGCCCAATCTGCGTTGGTGTATCCAACTACTTCAAGATCACCTCCTGGCTGTATAGTAACCCATGACCTAGGGCCCCCTTCAAATACTGCATAATTCTAAGAACTGCATCCCAGTGAGGCACTCGAGGTTTCTGCATAAACAGGCTTACCACACTAACAACAAAAGAGATGTTGGGCCTAGTGATAGTTAGATAATTCAGTTTTCCCACTAGCCTTCTATACCTTCCAGGATTATCAAACAATTCACCCGTGTCACTTCCCAACTTCACATTTAGTTCCATGGGAGTTTCAGCTGGTTTAGCACCTAGCAAGCCAATTTCTTCCAACAGGTCAAGAACATATTTCCGCTGATAGAGGTTGATGCCTTCCTTGATCTAGCAACTTCTATACCCAGAAAATACTTCAACTTTCCAAGATCTTTTGTTTGAAAGTGATTTTGTAGGAATGTCTTCAATATATCAATCCCAACTCTATCACTGCTAGTTATGACTTTGTCATCCACATACCTACTAACAAGATCTTCCCGGCCACCGAGTCATAGCTAAAACTGAATGGTCAACTTGACATTGTCTCATTCCAAACTCCTTCACCACTTCATTGAATTTGCCAAATCTAGCACGGGGAGACTATTTGAGCCCATAGATCACCTTCTTGATCTTACACACCTTACCATCCTCCCCCTGAGCAACAAACCCTGGTGGTTGCTCCATGTACATTTCCTCTAGAAGATCACCATGGAGAAAGGCATTTTTAATATCAAACTGAAAGAAAGGCCAATCATGCAGTGCAGCTAAGGAAATCAACACACGTATTGAGCCAGTCTTTGCAATTGGAGAAAAGGTTTCGACATAGTCTACACCATAAAGTTGAGAGTACCCTTTTGCAATTAAACGGGCTTTCAGTCGTTCCACTCTCCCATCTGGTGGACACTTAACAATATACACCCACTTACAACCAGCAACATGTTTTCCTGGGGGAAGATTGATAAGTTCCCATGGATGATTGTGATGAAGAGCAGAGAGTTCTTCTTCCATAGCTTTTCGCCACCCTGGTGAAGTAAGAGTCTCCTGAACATCCTTAGGTGTGGATAATGGTGTGGATATAGAGGACAACATGGTAATAAACTCATGATGGGAAGCAAAAAGGTATGATACAAAAACATAATTGGATATAGGATGTAGCGTGCAACTACGTTTACCTTTCCGCACCGCAATAGGTGAAGGGATGAGAGATCCATCCTATGGACGCCCAAAGATTGCGGAATAAGGGGCGACTTTCAAAAAATTTTATCTCTCCCTTCAACTGGGAATCGTATTCCCTATTTAGAAAATCATATTTTCAAGGATCAATCTTGAACCATAAACTGAACCAGATCTGAA